CATAATTCAGGGAAAAGCAATGGTGTGATCTTGCATTTAGGAGGTGAATAAAGCACAGGGCTAAACTCTGTAGGAAATCTTGTCTCAGTAACTCTTGAGTTCATGAAACTCCTGGTCTTTGCTTCTTGAAAAATAAAGCCTAAGGGAATCTTTTGTCATTAGACACTATAAAGTAACGGAGAAAAGTACGGAGTTACACTCAGCTTTTTTCTCTATTGGTCATATTTCTCCCAGCAACATCTCACTCACGCCTGCATTTTTAGCAGATTACACTCCAAATAGGTTAGTGCCATTGCTAACATCTAAAATTTATTGCTGAAAGATATTTATATCTGTCTTCATCAACTGATACTCTATTCTCCAGAAAGCTGCCTTACCTATCTCTTTACTTAGACTTAAAAAAAAATCTGGGAAATCATGGAGAAACTTGTTTGTGGACAGCTTGCAGCTGATGTGCTCACAGCATCACTAATGCAAAATTACTGAAATAAATATTAAAGTTACACAGCACTCATTCCCAGTTTTATTATCTGGACCTTCCAGGATGTTGAAACTGCAAATGTAAAGACCATGTGGATGCTTCAAAGGTGAACAGGAACAGGAGCAACACACCCTCCCCTTTTTCCATCTCTTTCTGCTGTCAGCTTAGTTCTGCTCTGGCACAGCTGCATAATCTTTGCTCAGATTTTTGAGGAAATTGTTAAATTGAGAGAAGGAGCTATGAGGAAGTCCATAGAGTTGAGCCGTGAAATGTAAAAAAGGTAAAATTGGAGGTAAAGACTGCTGAGATGAGGCCAGGCAGCAGCTCAAGGATCAAGAGGAAGGCCATAAATGTGAAAAGATAATAACATCTCAAGGGAAAAAAATGAAGTGGCAGACTGCAATGTCAAGCATGTGCCACAGGGAGCAGTGAAAGCTGACCCTTTCCATCTACTATCAAAGGCCCTGTAGGTGGTTAACATACTAATCTGGTAGGTCGTTAATTATGGCTATCTTTTGTGTATATTAACCATAAAGTAACTGCTTTATATGTAACAGCACGTGCCAAAAGGTGACTGAACAAAGTGGCCCAGGGAAGGAGAAATAGTGAGGCAGGTAATGAGAAGCCATTTTGGCAGCAAAGACATGGAGCAAGAGGGAAGCCACCAGAAGGTGCCACTGCTGCAGGTGGAATGAGGAAAAGAAGTCAAGGAACAAAAGCCCTGTTCACGTAAGCTGTGAGTGATAATGCAGTATAGCAATGCTGACATGTTCTGAGCACGGCAGGTCATGTCACAGAAAATACTTTAAAATTGATGCCAAAAGAAAGTGAAGGAGGCGAAGTGATCTCTATTATGCCACCTTCTGGCCTTCATCTTCCTGCTCGAAAAATGTACAGTTAGATAATAATCTTTCTTTTTATGAATGGCAGAAAATGAGGATTAAGGAGCAATTCAGGAGATGAGCAGTTTATTTTATCTGCTTTGATTTCACAGCACCTATGCTAGGTGTGCCCCTGTGCAAGTACAATTGTGAAGAACGATTAAAAATAAAACCCTTCCTATTTCCATCTCTACATGCTGAACAGTGTATCAGAATGTGTGTTACCTAAAATATGTGGATGGAAATTTTTTTGACTAGGGCCCAACTCAGAGAACACCATAGCAATTCCCATAACTACAATGAAAAACTTTGGAGCAACAGTTTAAAAACTTGCCGTTTGCAATGCAGGATATGAAACAGCAGTCACTGCTATTTCCCAACTACCAATGCTTCAGTGGTGTTGTGACCTGAAAGGGGTCATTTAGGACATTCTCCCTCCCCTTGGGACCAACAACCAAGTTCGTGATACCCTTGTAAAGAATTAAGGTGAAACAATACCAACCAACCAGTTTCATGATTTATTAATACAAAATACAAGGCATGTGGTTAGATGGAATAACTCAACAGTGATTACTTTAATTGGATCAGCAAGTCCCATGACACACATTTTCACTTAGATCTAGTCACTGCTCAGTGGAAAAGAGAGGAGAAGAGAAAGTGAGAAAAAGAGGGAGAGAGAAGTATCACCACCTGTGGATCTAGTGATGTCTCATTGGTCCTCTTCACCCAGAAGTATTGTTGGTGGTGGGAGCTCTTCCTCTGACCTGAGCCCTGCACTTTCACGTTCATGGTATTTTGGGGTGTTATGCATAATCTGTATATGAAGAATAGAGGGGCATTACTATGATAATAGTGCGCATAGCTTAGTGAGCACCTGTGCGGTTCCAAAGCTGGGCTTCCTCGAGGGTCCTCTGGGTGGTCCTTTGTGGGGGTTGGAATGTATCGGAACTGGCAGAGACCATGGGAAGGGGAAGCTACAGTAGACAATTAAGAATGATCATGGACAGGAGGAACCGCAGAAGGCAATTAAAGAGTGGCCTGTCCCTGACTGGTACTTGGAAGATGTTGGAGCTGGCAAGGAATAGGGACGTCAGAACTGGGAAGAGGATGCCGGTAAGAAAATCTGATAGACCTTTCACCTGATGTAACTGCAAGGCAAACACAGATGTGCTTGGCTAATTGCTTGGAAGCATATAAATATCGTGTAATCTTTGCAATAAAGGATCCAGCTTGCACTCTGCCTCTGGGTCCGTGCCTCCATCCTCACAGTCCTTGTCCCCTATATCCTGGTGACTGCTTTTCCAACTCCACCCTCTGAGTCAGCTCATCCTTGAGTCATCCTTTCACATTCCTGTGGAGGCTCATCAGCTTCCAATAAAGGGGTCAGAACAATCCTATCTACACAGTATTGAGAGCCAACATCCTTGTTATTTGCTTCATTTATGCTCAGGACCTCCATAGCCAAATGCAAACTGTGCCGGAGACAAGCTCAGTTTCTGTCTCTGACTCACACTATGGAATGAGACAAGCTCAATGTCTAGTCTTTCACAAGTAGCAAGAATAATCAAGAGATTGCAGTTTTGGTCTATCACATGCTGACTTTGCTACACTCATTCAAAACTAGACTTCCAGTTGTGAACTGAAACCTGAGCTAAACCTTAAATCCACCAAGAAATAGCAACTGTCACTACAAACTCCTCATTAAACTGCACTTTTGGGGAAAGAATTGTGTTGTACCTTTGTTCTTTTGCACAGGCTACTAATTAGATATTTAGATAAAGATGTGATTGCCTTTGATTTTAATCTCTAAGCTGCCTTTGGACCTACCTGGAAATGAATGAGATGGATCAAGCAAACAGTATTAAAAAACAATGTGTGACAGAAACCTTTGATGAAAGGAAGGACCACGGGGATGTCAAGTCTACCATTCCCACAAGGGAACAGGAAACAAAAGGAAGCTCATACAGCCTCTAGTAGCAAAGATGTCTGAAGCCTTATAGGGATGGAAGTGAGCAGTAGGGTCTGCAATCTGTCAGGGTTGTACAGGATTTCTGTAGGTCCCGTGTCTCTGCCTGGGGGCTGTGACAGCAGGCACCAGGCTACATCCTTGAGCCTGGTCCAAACCTATTTCATGTAGAGACTCTTGGGTGATGCAGATAGCCACCAGGGCAGGAGATGGAAGTGCTGTCACATCAAACTGCTTCTATTACTACTTCAAGACCTATCTGAGCTGCCATTCTTTAGTTATCAGCTCCCCAGGACTTGGGAGCAATTCAGAGCAGCCAGGTCTCTCAGCAACAGTAGGAGAGGGGGAAATCCCCGGGCTGAGCCATAGGTCTCCATCATTTATCACCCACGTACACGTAGAGGTGGCAGAGACTCCTTCAGTGCGTTCAAGTACAGTGTTGGCGGGTGTTTCTGCAATTAGAGACCTTTTAATCTTTTTAACATTAACCACGGCAAGTGGGACTGGGCAGGTCTCGTGTCTTTCCGAGTCCAAGCAGTGCTTCACCATCCGGTGAAGCGTTTGCTCCAGGATGTGAGGAACGCTCCAGATCGCAATCTCACTGCTGGTAGTTCGTGCTTAACCGCCACTCCCGCAGAGCTGCAAAGTCACACCCCACAAGCCTCAATCCCACACCTCATTTTAACAGGTAGCACAGAAACCCGCCGGTGTAGCCCCGACCTGCTCCACAGAAACGGGAGTCCTTGCAGACTCCTGATCTCTTCCTCACCCCCAGAGCTGTCGGGCTTCTTACCCCTGAGCCGGCAGCCACCCTTAGTCAGGGGGGGCGCTTCCTTATTTTACTCACACCCCATCCCACCACCGCCAGCCCATCCGGAGCGCAGGGGGCGGTGAAAGCATTACATGCTCCCGCCTCTGTGGTGGCACAGCCACTACCGCTCTGCCTACCGCCTCTCTTCCTGCGGCCGCCCCGCCCTGCCGGTGCTCAGGCTTCGCATGTAATCGGGGCGGAGGTGGAAGCAGGCAGGCAGAGTTGGCTGAGGTTGCGGTGGGTCTGCTCAGGTTAAGGTAAGTGGCGCTCCGCGGGGCGAACAGTGATCTCCGTCCATCTCTTTCACCGGGCGGTGCGCGGCGGTGGGGCAGAGGGCCGTGCGGACGGCTCGGCTGTCTCCTTACTTCCGTCCCACTGGGCCTCTCTGGGGCAGCTGCGCTGTGTGGGCCCTGGTAAGCAGCGCTGCGCCGTGGTGGCGGCCCCGGCCGTGTTGGGTCCCGTCCCTCGCCGGGCCGTTGTTCTGCCACGGGGACTGGCGGGTTGCGTGATGGCGGCGGCGGTGCGGATGGTTCCCCCTTCGCCAGTTAGCCATAGATCGCGGTTGGCGGGTGTTCTAGGGCTGGCTGGCTTGTAGTCGGGAAAGAAGGGGACGGGCCTTGAGTTTGTTAATCTCGACATACGCGAACGAAGCATCAGTAGCTGCCTGGTCATGGTTTTCCCCTGTTGTGTGTATGCCTCTTGTGACTTCAGGCCAGCAAGAACCCCTCGATCCTGGTCTTGTCAGGGAACGCTTCCTCGGTACGGGTTTGTCACCGTGGAAATGGCTAGGGGGCAGGGGGAGACTGGGGAGATACATGAACTCATTCAGGCTTCTTTAATGGTCTCTTGATGTCGTGCTGCAGATCTGCATCATGCAGAAGCAAGTCCTTGAATCCTCTGAGGAGCGAACATTTCAGTACCAAGATTTTCTGCCTTCCCTGCCAGTACCTTCTCTTGATGACTCCTTAAGTAAATACCTTGATGCAGGTAACGACTTAATATTGTAGTAGTAGTGTGGTGTGTACTGTTACAACCAGGCTAATCTGAAGGTGTTTGTGATTTGTAGCTGCAGGTTTTATCAACTGATGTAATTAGGATGGGGGATCCAGACAGATTTTAAGTGACAAAGGTATTTTTCAGGTTAAAAATGGGCAATGAAGCGTCCAGAGCAACCTGAGTAAGAGTTGCTATTTAATCCCTATTTGCCTTTCTTCAAGGGAATTGGATAGCTGGGAAAGTTAATTTTTTGGTTTGATGGTTTGGGGGGGGGGGGGTTTAGGGTTTTGCATTTTGGTGTGGGCTTGTTCGGTTTTTTCCTAGCTGTATTAGCAGGTGTAATAAGAGATTATCCATCTGCTTTGCTTGTCTAGGATTGTGTTTGCCCAGGATCTCTGCAAAAAAACCCAACAAACCCCAAACAATTATTTGAAACTTTTTCATACTTATATGTTCTTATTTCTCACCAGTATTACTAACTATACAGAAGTATGAAGAGGCACTGGTGGGCATTTTTGGATAATTTAACTTGGATAATTTCTGCTTTAAAATGTTTGCTGTCTAAAGGTCAAAGTTTTGAAAACAGTATCAATACACATGTGTCTAACTTTGTTTATAAAGCAAACATGACTAGTTAGTCCTTAATATCTTATCAGGCTTTGATATATTGGGATTGACAAAGATACATTACCTTTACTTTCCCATGTTTCTTTAATAGTCTTCAGAATTTGGAGACATTGAGCTTTTTTCTGGAACATGTTCTTCATAACTTACCTGTAATGCTAATAGAGTAAGACCTGGAGTTCTTCCTTAGCAGAAATATATTGCAGCAAAATTTCCCTTTCTCAAAGTAGAAGCTAAGTTCACTCTTGAGCTCCCGTTTTCTTTTTTCTGAGTGTAGTAGAAATGGCCCAGTAGATGGTAATAGGTTTTCTTTGGTGTTCCTTACATCATCACTTTTTGATATAGTATGTCAAAATGGTGGTTGTAGAGGAAAAAATGCTGTATTGTGTCTGCATGTCAAAAAATATTTTCTTTCTGTTGTAATGCATGTTAACTAAAATTGTGCTGTGGTAGTGAACCTGCAATAACAGAATTTCTGTTTCTAACTTAGTTTTGTAAATCCTCACTCTCCAGGTTAAAAAATAACTCTCTCATGGAGTGATAAAGCCTAATAGTGAATTTGTTTTCTGAGCTGTGTTTTCATAAATACTTTATCACACGTCCTTTTTTTACCTGGGTTACTTACTTGTACATAAGTCATTCTATAACTTCAGTGTTGATCTCCTTTAGTCTTCCTGGAGGTTGGATGAAAGTTAGTCTGGTATTTGTTGTTCTGCTCAGTCTTCCCTTGTATAAATCACTTATAGCCAGAACATGTACAGTTCTAGATGCTACTCTGTGATGCTCATTGCTTAAGCTTGTAATGTGTTTAGTCTGTGAAGGTGAGCGGAGGAAACGAGATGCTTCTGAAGAACAGTTCAGAACCTCCAAATGACCCTTCATAGATGCTGTGAATCATTCCTTGGAAACTGCTGTCTTTCACTGATGGAATGAGCACCCCAGGCACTTAACATTAATTAGTATAGCTGTTGGTAAAGCATTTGTCCGTTTAAAGCCAATCAACTGGAAAAGCTGGACAGAGTATGCTTCAGAAGGTGGCTTGTTTAGGGCTTTACAGTAGCTACCTCTGCATTGGATTCAGAATGACTAATCTTGTTTTAAAGGTAGGCCTTGAGCAGAGTGGCCATAACCAAGTTATTTAGCCTTTCAGCTCACCCCAGAGGTTAAGACTTGGAAGCCTGGATTTGACCGGAGAGTATGAAAACCCAAAGTTCTAGCTTTCGAGAGGGTTCCTTAACTATGCAACTGAAGGTGTCTTTCATGGAATGCTTCCTGTTCATGGAGCTGATCTCCTATGCAGAAACGAAGGCAAGGTCTGTGGAGGGATCTGGAGAAAGTGGCAAGACAGGAGTTTCACCGAACTCTAGTGAGAAAAGGGCTGAGGTCTGCACCTTCCTAATAGTGCTGCTGATCACATAGGTGTTAAATGGAAGAGAGGCCCTGTAGTCATAGAATCATGTAAATCATCTAAGCAGCCTTCCTGTATCTGAAGGTGGACCTAAAAGGATGCTCTTCATCAGGGACTGCAGTGATAGAGCAAGGGGCAATGGGGGCAAGCATAAACAGTTTTTCAGCAATTGCTTTAATCTGCTATCATCTGTATTTATTTGAAAATATGTATTTGTTTCATTAGAAGACACTGATATATTTGCAGATACTTGAAAATGTGTTTTTCCTTCAAATACTTGTTTCAGAAAAATAAATTTTGAGTATTTTCATTCATTCTATAACCTGTGGATATCTGAATTTTGGAATAAATCTCAGTATAAATGCAGCTTAAACCACAACATGTCTTTAAAATAAAAACATTTCCTTCTTACAGTGAAGCCATTTCTTAATCAAGAAGAATATCAAAGAACTGAAAATATAGTTAAAAAATTTAAAAATGGGATTGGGAAAGAGTTGCATGAAAAATTACTGGAAAGAGCTAAAACAAGAAGGAATTGGGTATGTATCTGGATAAATAGGAAACCATAATTCAGCTTTGGAAAGTTGGTTGTTCAGAATATAATTTAGAAAGTTATTTAGCTTTTTTTTTTTTTTTTTTTAATCTTAGGTTTTTCCTTGTATCTGCCACTTTGCCTATGGATATAAACAAGTCACTCATATGTGTGATTTGTTTTTCCCAAAGTTGAGTGGCTAAGAGAACTCACTTACTGGAATGTTAAGTTACCTGCCAGCTTTTGCATGCTCTGTCAGTCTCCTTCTATCACTTTCATCCCTCCTCCCTCTACCCTGCCTCCCCACCCAAAAAAAGAAAATGGAATTTGGAGTTTGGTCCCTATCCATTTCTTTCTCAAGGAAAGCTACATGATAGCATTTTTAAAGTTGCCTTTCAACAGAGAAAGGGATACAAGGGGGATGTTGCCAATTCATGAACTGGTATTCATGAGAACTTTGTAAATCTTAACATGACACAGTCCAGAGTGGGGGTTTTCAGATGAAGATAGAAAAATACATTAGGAATTATCTGTCCCAAATCCTCTCTCAACACAAATCTTCTTTTGTTCTATTCTTCACGGAGTAATCTCTCTGATGTGAATATCAGCCACAGCTGACATCTGCAAGAGTTTAAGGTGATGAGTATTGGGCAAGAACTCTTTATCATAACTTACAGTTTAATAGTCTTAAGCCATACTTAATTCTATTTTAAGCTTGAAAATAGAGCAGCTAGATGTGTTGTTACCCTCAGCAGTTAGTTTTTAACTACTCTCCTCCCTTCTATTTTATAGAAACTACTATTGAAAATTAAAAAAAAAAAGTTAAAAAAAGCACACAGTTGGATAATGAGGTGATTATTAAAGAATTAATGACTAAAACTTAATTCTGATGCTAGACATTTTTCACTTTTCAGCTGGAGGATTGGTGGCTGAATGTGGCTTATCTTGACCTTCGCATATCAACGCAAATACACTGTAATATAGGAGGCCCTGGTCCCTTTATTGAACACTGCTGGCCACCAAAAGAGGGCACTCAGATAGAAAGAGCATGTATATATACATGGCACATCCTGAAATTCTGGCATCTGTTGCGAACGTAAGACTTCAAGAAAAAATAATTATTAGAATGCTAATGATCTATGTGTGCTTTAGTTGCAAAAATATGTTTATGTTCATGTTTTGAAGTCAAAGATGGGGTTGGCTTGCTTTGGTTTGCTTGCATAATCTTTCTTGTTTAATTTTGGTTCGTTTGTTTACTACAGAGAGAAGGTGCCTGTCGAGAGATCTCTGGATGAGGTTCTGGACATGAGCCAATTCCGAATGCTCTTCTGCACTTGCAGAATTCCCGGAGTTACCAGGGACTCAATCAGCCATTATTTTAAAACTGGTAAACAAATGCTTTTGTATTAATACGCTAATAGAGTGGTCATTTTAACTGTAAAATACTCACTTCTTAACATCTAAGTGAGATATTCATGAGTGCTTATATAAGGAAGCGAAGAAAATGTGCAGTCTGTGGATGCCCTTTTTGGTCCAATATTTAGCCCTTATACAATAGATTAAAAGAAAACTCTGCTTCAAATTGTATGTTACCAGCCTGATGCCTATAATAATTAAGCCAGCACTAAGAATTGAAAAAAGACAAATTCCATGGGTTTATAAATGTGGATGGGTTCCTTGCATTATATGGGCAGAATTTCAGCATCATTGCTAGTTGCATCTTTTTCCACAGAATGCATTTCTTGAGTATGCTTTTTGTACATCCTGTTGGAATAATTCTGATTTTCTGTCATTTTGATGTTTCTTGGCTTGGTCAGCTTCTGTTTTCAGTCTTGAAAGTACTCCTTGGTGCTTCTTGAAGTCATTCTCTCAAACTCCAGGTTTTCTGGAGTTTAGGATCAAGCGCTGGAGTCTACTGTTACTATTCATCCTCCACTAACAAGTACTGTAGTATTGGTAATGAGCTAACTAAATCGTAAGACCTCTCCCACACGCAATCTGATGCGTCTGGAGTTGTTCAGCGTTGTCGCTCTAGGTAAGCACAGGAGATTTAAATTCCTGTAAGACTCAAGAATTCAAGGAGGAGGTATTGTCTTGTTCCATTAGAAAATTTGAAAGGAAATCTCTTCCATACTGCAGGATATGATGAGAAAAAAATGCAAAGTTTAAATACCAAAACATAGAAGAAACATTCAAATGGTGGAAATTCAGTTTGTTCTGTTAGAATCACAATACACAAAGCTATTATCCTGTGGAGATACCATTTATGTCACTCGTGCCTTTTGTGGGTCATTAAGGTATGTGTGTGTCTTAACATAAACAGAAGGAATTGCCATCTGGAGAGGGATCCTGTTTTGCTGTGGAGGGAGCTGCTAAGGTCTAAACACTTGGAAGTAGTATACAGATTGCGGAATAGAGCACCTATTGACAGGTAGCATCAACTGGAGTCAGAGACCACACTGAAAGCCAAGAGAGTCTGATCAGTGGAACCTGGAGAGCTATTTGGTTCAGCCTGCAGCAGATGCCTTAACAAGAGCACGTGGTGAGGTCATTAGATGTTGAAGTGTATTTGGTAGATCTCTGCCAACTGTAGTGATCTCAGGCATTTAATTCAGCTATGTTTCAAACTTAATTCTGTCTCTTGCTTCAGAGAGCTCGGGTTAGGAGGATGCTACCAAAAGTAACTGAATTTGATGTCATCCCTTCTAATTTATGTTAGAAATTAATTTAATGACCTATGATGATAAGGTTTGTACGAAATGACAAATCCTCACTCTAGAATATCTAATCCAGTATCTATTGAATTGTGGTATCTCTTTAGACAGTAGGACCATAAAGATAAGTGTAAAAGCTTTATAGATTAAGGCTTCTGTGGATGCCCATTCAGTTACATACTTGTGGGTAAAGTAGCATGTATTTCTTTTTGTTTTTTTTTTTTTTTTTCTCCCAGGGCAGACTCCTGGACTGGAAGAGCTGTACCACAGTGGCTCAATTTGAGAAAATGTAGCCATATTTCTTGGGGGTTTAAGTATCTGGAATTTGTCAGAATTATTTCCAACTTTAGTCTTGTTTCCAGATAGATGGTGATGCTATGCAAACGTAGCTGGCTAGTATGGGCTGTCTGCATTTTTTGTATAGTGGCCAGTTGGTGTGTCAGTGTTCACTTTCCTACAGATTTGCATGTGCCCACCAGGTCTGATTGACATGGTAGTGCACCTTGGATCCTGAGGTGGTTCCTCAAGGTAACTGAAATTGATTGCATAAGCACTGACAACTGAAGGACCCAATCATTTGCAAAGTGTCTCAGCAGCAGGCTTGCTGCATTGTATTCACCCCTTTTAAAAAACACATAAACAAAACTCATGCAAGAGAGAAATATTACTCCATCAGCTGTCATCCAAGCAACACGCATGTTGGCAGAGAGCATTCCTGCCCACAGGATACACAAATAAATGGCACTTGCTGCTAGGTAATGACAGTAACTTAAAATAGTTAATAACAGTGAAAGTTGTTTTCTGTATGTTTTCTCAAACGGTTTTAAGAATGTCTTCAGATTTGCAGTTGAACTTCATAAGTTACCCTCTTCTTCTTTCCTGTTTTTAACTGCATGAAGTCTGCCTTCTTTTGAATGAAAAAAAAAAAAGTGGGTCTGCAGGACTTGCTTGTTTTTTCTGCCTCTCACTTTATCCCTGCGGGTGGATTTTCATGTTTTGTTTTTTGTTCATTTCAGAGACTGAAGGTGAATGCCCATCTCATTTAATAGTCCTGTGTCGAGGTCGAGTGTTTGCATTTGATGCTATACATGAAGGCAGTATGCTGACGCCTCCAGAAATTTTCAGGTTTCTGAACTACCTTGTTTCAAATGAGCTATCCTATTTAAGTTACTTAACAAAAGAGAGTCTTTCTATTCCTTTTGCCCCAAAGAATTAGGTGTGAGAGAGGCTATAGCTTCTCTAACTGAGGGCTCAGATTTGAGTAAATTTTTGTTTCATGGATGGCAACTTCTTGCCATAAGCAATGATGGTTATGTACTGTTGTCATACACTCATAGAACGTCATGCAGAAAGTCTGAATTGAGATATTTCAGCAGGAAACTGTTGACGCGGGAGTCACGGACAATGCTGAGACAATCAATGTGATCAAGTGATTGCCATTTATTACAAAGCCTTAACCCCTTATATACCATTTCTTACATGCACTTACAGTGATTTGGCACTTACAGTGATATTATGATAGGATACATGTCTTGAAGACCCTTAGCGACTAACATATAATTGGTTAAGCACAGGTGTGAGAACCGGACCTTGAAAGCTTGCCAACAGTCCATAGTTCTCATTAACTCAGTGAATTCCAGCTTCTTCTTATCTTGTTTGCTTAAGCTTCCTCGGGCCTCTCATGGCCTTGCTGTATCTTTCAGGATTATTCAGAGTTTATGTACCAATTATCCATTCTCCTGTGAGAGCACTGTCTCCACAGGAAACATCACTTATATGTGAAGTGTCTTGATGTGGAATTCTTAGGATTGTAAGTAACATCATTCCTTTCCGGACCACTTCACAGTGATAATTGTCTCGTTGCTTTATTGCATTATTAAACAGGAAGCACCACTATCATATTGATTAAAATCTGGTACATGTGAGGTCAGTTTTCTGTAGAATGGAGGGGCTGGTGTTCCTGTTGGTGAGTGTAGTGGAGTCCAAAATCATAGTATACACTGACTGACTTCCTGCTAGCTACACAGCAGTACAGCAGCATTTCACTTACATTTCTTGTCTTTGCACCAGACCTGTGACAACCAGCCGTGGTTGTGGCTCTTGTCATATTCCTGAGCTGTTGCAAAGGAACCGAGAGAAAGAATTTGATTCTGTAAATACTAAACTTCAGTACTAATTCAACTGGCAATGTTTAAAACTTTTCCATGCTGTCCCTACATCCCAGCAGCATATGGAGGTGCTGGCTTTTCAAATTCTTAGTGCAGTTGAGGCCACAAGATTTTGTATTCACATACAGAGGTAGTTTCAGCATAAGTCTCTTGTGACCAGTTTTGGCTTGGGATTTTGTGTGTTGGGTTATTTTGTTTGGGGATTTGTTTGGGGTTTTTTGTTTGGGTTTTTTCTCCTTATATCTCTTAATTGTGGCCGTCTTATATTTTTGGTAACTGTGTAACTGCTGATCAGTAATGAAGTTTAATGGACAAGAGTGCCAGAACAAAGGACAAGCCATGTTAAGCACTTGTAATTTGTGGAGTTTCTTTACCACCAAGAACAGCATATGAAAAACTGAATTTGCAAACTAAGGATTAGCTGTTAATAGCTCTTCAAAGGGAAAAAGCAAGGGAAGGGCAGGAAGGGTATTCTTGTGTAGTTCAGTGTCCACATCTAGGAAGTACAGTAGCTACTGTTCTGGTTTAAATTTAGGATATATCCTAAGTGGAAGTTTTGTCCTTGTATCTGTCTAGTTGCTATAAAAGCTGTAAAGCTGCAGTATTGCAGGTGTCTGCCGCTTGGGAAAGTTTTATCTGTACTGCCAAAGTCTTAAATCTAGTTTCAAATTAAATGTATAATAACACTTTAGGACAATGATTGTTTACATGTAAGTTTTTACTGGGCTGGTAGCTGCAATTTGCAGTAACCATTAATGACTGAGAACAGAACAAGTCTTCAACTGCTCATAAGAGTCTGAGGGAGCTGATTTGTGCTCCCTGAAGATTCACATTAGCTTGTGAATGTGAAACAAAAATTGCAGTTTGGCAAAAAAAAAGAGAGAAAAAGTGTGACTTTTACCTTCATATATTCTTTACTAACTTCAGTTATTGAAATCTTCTTAAAGGCAACTTACACATATACAGAAAACATGCCATAGTGAACCAGATGGACCAGGAGTGGCAGCCTTAACAAGCTGTGAAAGGACAAAATGGGCAGAGGTGGGAATACTTCAACAGTTGATTCCTGGGAAAAACATTGTGATCACTGGAAATGCATCATTTCACTTAGCTTTGTCTTCTTGTACTTTGTAGTTACGTGACTATTTGATTAATCTTGATCCAAAGAACTTAACTCTTCTGGAAAAAATACAGAGAAGTTTGTTTGCGATTTGCCTTGAAGATTCTAGTCCCCATGCCACACCTGAAAACTACAGTGAGGTAGCTAAGCATTTTTGGTAATTTATATCTGGTGGTCTTTACATAAACATTTCTTATGTATATATGCAGCAGTAGCACTTATTGCTCTTTCAGAACACAGACAGTGAAGGAGATCAATATACAAATAATGCTTCTTACTGATCCATAGGAATAGTTAAATAGTTTGAATGTTTAGGACATTGGAAATGTCTGAAATGTGTCTTAATTATGTTTTAGTCCTGTATGTCTCAGGGTCCTCAGAAATACAGTTGTCAACTTGTTATCACCCTGTAATTCAAAAGCGTAGCGTTATAATCATGTTTCACCTTCAACTGGATGAAAGTTTCGTATCTCTTAGGAGGTCTCGCCATCTTAGTTTAGTGTAGGCTTGGTTTAGCTGACAGAGGTTGGAAGTGTACACCATGATTTTTAAAACCCACAGTGTGTAACTTCTGCTTTAGGTTACCAGGATGGGGCTAACAGGTGATCCAACTGTACGCTGGGGAGATAAATCCTACAGTAGCATATTCTTTTCCAATGGAACCTGTAGTGCGTTCTGTGATGTAAGTTGAATGTTTCCCCTCCCCCCCCTTATGAGCCTTTCAAGTATTTATTTACTCAATTTTCCCTTTCAGAGTATTATTTTAAATGCTTCATGTGTTCCTCTAGTATAGCCTGGTTTACCAGGCACCTTGTCTGGCAAGTTTCCAAAAGCTTTCACAGTATTTGGTATTACACAGTACTTGAATTGAGAACATGAGATGTGAAATCATAATCTTATTTCTAAAAGTATTTAATGAGGGAGTTCCAAGGCACAAAGTACATTGCATAAGCAGGTTTTAAATTAACTCTCTGTATGGAGTAGCTATTTGAACAGCTTTGGTTATTGAACTCAGTTTTTTTTAAAGTCATTATTGAATGGCCAGAAGATCTGCCCCAGGTCTACTTTTCCACAACCAGTGGTATATTGTGCCTCCCTATCTGGCTGCAGAGCAGTTGAAACAGTGGGTGGACTTACAGTTGTTCTGTATGCGTTGTAGAACTAGAAAAACAAGTCCAACACTATGCTCCAAAGCTTTGGTCTGCAGGAAGAAGTGGGCTGGGGAAGAAAGGAATCTAATTATACAGATAATATGGTATCTTGTTTTATATGATTCTAGCATTCTCCTTTTGATGCCATGGCTTTAATTTCCATGTCCCATTTTGCCGAAAAGAAGATTCTTGAAAATGAGGGAAAATGGAAGGTATTTATTCTTTAAAGTTTCAAGTTTATTAGTTACTGTGCCTTTTCTTATGGATAACATTTCCTGTTTTCTTTCTGTCTGTGCCCTTGCAGGGATCAGATACAGTGAGAGATATTCCATGGCCAGAGGAACTTGTATTCACAGTGGATCAAAAAATCATAAATGAAATTGGATATGCTAAAGAATTCTATTACAAAAAGGTGGAATTCCTTGCTGCTTTTCTTAACTGTCACTGATTTTTATTTTTTTTCATTTCCATGCTATTTACATACTTTTAGCTGGTCTGTATGCTGGAGAACAGGGAATTGCTTCTTAATAATACCTGATGAATCAGGGGACTTAATGTCATGGTTAAATTTATTACATTGTTGGTTTATGTTGAGTGTGTTTTATTTGCAGTGGACCAAGTTGTGATATTTCTTGACTTCTCTGGCTTTTCCTCCTTTGGTGTGACAGGTGTCTGACGTGCAGCTAGTGAGTTATGCCTTCACGTCCTTTGGCAAAACATTGCTTAGAAAGCAGAAACTTCATCCTGATACATTTGTGCAGCTTGCCCTTCAGCTTGCTTATTACAAACGCCATGGACGGTAAGAAGATTACCCAGATGAGGAATAAAAAACTAGTTTCTTGAGAAAAGGCATGGATCTGGAGATGAAAGTCCCTTGCAATGCCAGTTTGTAATTTGCTGCAGTGATACAAGAAAGAAGAAATGAGGTTTTCTTAAAGTAACAATTGCATAGAGTCTTAGTTTTTGCCATGGGGTTTGTACCCTTGGCTTCGGAAGAATTGTGTGCTTGTGCCTACAGGGATCTTACATGTACATGTTGTGGAATGGAGGGCAGAAGATAGTCCATGAAAACATGAATTTGGACTGTACAAAGTAAATATTTGGGCAAATACCAAATGCACGATGGGTCAGGATTCTTTAATGTCAAATAGTTGCTCAGGTGGAGAAGAAAGCTTTAACTGCAGCATGTGACAGCCATCAGTAAAATGGTTAGTTTTCCATGCCTGTAAAAAGCCTCACAGATGTCACTGTCTCACTTTAGCAAGATTAGATGTGAAGTTTGGGCCAGAATAATAGAGATACGGATAGAGACCCTCCAAATGCCTGGTGCTACATTTTTGGGTGTGTAATTTTGTTTTGTATTATTGGAAAAAGGTAATGTTCTTTCTGGCATTGGTGTTTCCAAATTTCTCTTTGCTCACTAGGACTGATTGTAGCTTGTCTAAGTCATAACTAACCTGGCAAGTACTGCTTGCTTCCGAAAGAGAAGGGTTTTGTCATGTCACGCTTGATCACTGGAGATGTGTATCTCATCATAAGAATGGTTAGTAGATCTCAGTTTGCTGAACACTGGAATAGATTAATTGTCTGACTAAAGTAGCCTTTGTGTGAGGTCTGTTTTAAACACACAAAGAAGTCTCATGTAAGTTGTGTATTAAATAGTAGACTGTCATAGGGCTGGGGATGCTCCAGATAAAAGCTGGATGGGTGTCAGCCTGCAACAGAGAAGGACTTGAGCACTGGGACACACACTGCTTATTTCAAGCGTGTCTCTTAATTTTTGAGGTTTTGGATGGTGTAGATGCTTCCTTTAAGGGAATAAATAATGAAACTGAAGCTTGCATAATATATATATATATATATTTTATACTAAAGGCTGGTAGATCTGTAGTCTGCAGAAAGCAGCCATGACAACACAGTCTTCCTCAAGGTATAATTATAGCACTGGCACTTTTTCAGTTGTCTGCTCATCAAAGCTTGTAGACTTCCTTTGTGGCTCTTTTTCAGACACACAATTTAAAGAAAATTAGTGTCTTACTGATACTTGTAACTGATCTGGGTGTGCGAGATAACTTGGCAGGGCTTTTTTATTCTTTGAGAGAGCAAATAGTTAAGTTAATGAGATACTCTTCCCTGATTTTTCTTCTTAGCCCAGGCTGCTGTTACGAAACCGCCATGACTAGGCGTTTCTATCATGGCCGCACAGAGACCGTAAGATCATGTACTATGGAAGCAGTGGAATGGTGCAAGTCCATGCTGGATCCTTCTGAAAGTGTAAATACTGAAATCCTCCTTTAATCATCATGTATTTAGAAGGCCTGTCATTTGAGCTGCTTAAAAACCTTTCTCTGTTGTCTCATTAATGGGAGTAGGCCTGTTTCCACTGAGGCAGCTTTCAAATGTTGGGTTGCGTGAAGCCTGGCTCTGGTCCTTGTGGCTGAGGTGAGCTGTCATGTGTGGGTTTGCTTTTCTGTCCTGTTTACCTTTTGGTTGCAAGAATGTAAGTGTCATGAGTTACATTCACACTGATTTTTCTTTTTTTTTTACTTTCCACACCTCAAAAAGTAACTGCTTTGGAGCCAGTGTACTCTGCCTGTGGAGTGGTTCTGTTGTTTTAATTTTCAGGTGAAATCAGGAAATGTTAATCTAATCATCAAGTCTGACAGCAAATTTAAATCTGTTTGTGTCCTAGTGGCAGAAGGGATGTATTCCAGATTTTGTCTTTGAATAGCTGAACTGGTGACCTTTTCTTTTCCCAGCAGCTGCCCTCTGATGCTGGGCTGGCAAAGCATATTGTGCTTTATAAGCCAAGCGAGAGGTATACTAAAGCTGTTTCTGTTGTCTTCGCTGCACATTTCTCAGAGCCTGAGAAATGAGGCAAGGAGAAGATTTTTGGAACAAAGGGCTCCATATCTTTAGGAAACGAAAAGGTTCTATGTTATTAATGCATCTAAGAAACACACAGGAATACAGCCGTCAGGCAGTATGTGTGATCAGTAATTATAGTCTTCAAGAGCATATTTTCCTGGTCTTCACTGGCTTCTTTTGGCATGTGCTGCAGCTTTAAAACTCAAGTTTCTGGCCATTATTCAAAATTGTTTTCCTGTTGCAAATATGGATTCATTTTATTTCCCTGCACTTCAGTTATCTTCTAACCAGTTACACACTTCTGTGAGTAACACACATAGAGGTTTGTTACTTCCAACACTAACTGTAGCCTTTTTATTATTTTAACTAGCATCTCCAATTATCTTCCTGTTGCTGTTTTCTTTTTTTATGATGAACTCTTGAGGCTTAAAGACAGTGTTAAATCTGTTCAGTAGTATTGAAGTTAAGATGCTTAATAGTCTACCTTTAAGGTACTAGAAAATACCTAAAGTTAGGTACTTTGGAAAAAAAGTCCTTCTGCCTCAACTTTTCTTTTGCCTCTTGTGACCTTAGTAGCTTGATTTCTAATCCAAATTGCGTGGCTGCTGCCCTTGTTTCACATCCTCTGCGGCAGCCTCTTGTGTAATGAATAAAAGTGTAAAGGGTGCTTCTTAAGTAGTGAAAGAGCTAGTAAGATACAGGATCATAGAAGTCGAGGTCTTGGGTGTCTAGAGATGTTTTGCTAGGCCTCATTTCCTAAAATAAATATTTTTATTCTGTTCTCTCTGGTTTTGCTATGTAAGTTTCAATGTAAAATAGAAAAAAACTCCATGACGTTGGACAGAGCTACTGTTGTGGAAGTAGTATTTCAATCAGCAGAGAAAATTCGGGAATGCAGTTGTCATCTCTGTATTTTTTTAGTTAGGGTCTTTTTTTGTTTCCTGATTTTGCATCACATTTTCTTAATTAGTTGGGGGGGGGGTGTTTTGCTTTTTGGTTTTGTCATGGAAAAAAATGGTAGAATAGAATGGAATATTTCAGTTGGAAGGGACCTACAGTGATCATCTAGTCCAACTGCCTGACCAGTTCAGGGCGTGGTGAATGGTATAAATGCGATTGCACCAGCTAAAAGCTAGTGTGCTTCTAAATAAGTGGTATATCAGAAGGTTTTGGGGTTCAATTACTCTAGTTCTCAGTGGTTACTTGCAATTGTTTCTGCTTGTTTGGGAAGGAGCATAAACTGTAGGATATTGTTCAGTGCGGAAGCAATCAGAGTAACAAAACACAGCTGCAGGAAACAAATCAGCAAGTTCTCCTGACAAAGAAACTTGGATTTGGAAGAAACAGTTGGAGAGATGTTCTAAATGTACCTTTTTAAGTTTTTTCCATTTTCTTCTATCTAAAATTGCTAGAAACTGTGAAAGGGAAAAGCTTGCTGATTTGTGATTCCTGATGTGTTACTCACCTGGACTGCAGCTGTGGTTTTATTTTGTTTGAGTTTTGGGGTTTTAGTTGTTTGGTTTTTAATCCTGCCTCCCCTACTTTACAGACTTATCAACGACTGCAGCTGATGTATCGGGCATTTGCAAAGCACAATAAACTTAGGAGAGACTGTGAGAGTGGAAAAGGTATTCTGGGATCAAAATCTGTTTTATGTTTTGTTCTGGGTGGAAGGGGAATACTGGTTTATGCTAATATATTTTCTTCGTCTCTTCGTTTTCAACCTGAGTGAAAACTACTCGTTAACACTTTATACTTCAGTTTTCGTGAGAGAAACTCAAATCTTAGTCCTTCTGCCCTAAATACAGGTTCTCTTTGAGTATTAATTCACTTTTTTTGCCCAGCTAAACATTATTTGAGTATATTTCTGATCAAATACATGCTTGGCCGGAAAGTGGGAAATGTGGCCTTTAGAGGTGGAGGAGAGATTGGGAAATTGTGAAATTCTAGGCTGCCTGTGTTAGTGTGGTATGTTATTCTGTGCATGAGAGAGTAGCTGGGAAATAACCACCCGATGAACCTTCATACTCCTTTCATTCTACTTGGTGAGTTACCTAGGCAGCTGTGGCCCTAAAAGCCTTTTCACCTTGCCCATGTAATTGCCATTGGGCCAGTTTTGCTGCATGGAACTCCTCATCCTTGGCTGAAATGGAAGTTTTCTTGTTTTTTGTTTTCCACAGAACTGTGCTTGGTTTATGTTACTTAGTTCATTTGCATTTGGGCTCAGTGTCGCAAGCTGAAAATGATGAAAGCCTCTTAGATCAGATATTTGGGAAGTGGTTTTGTATGCTACTTATCTATCCTTCCAATGGTATTTGAACTACCCAGACCACAAGAAGCAGAAAAACAGAAATGCTGCTGTTAATGATGCAGTGTTTGCATTTATTTGTCAGGCTTTGATCGTCATCTTCTGGGTCTCCTCCTCATAGCACAGGAGCAAGGACTGCCAGTGCCAGAGCTTTACAGGGATAATGCCTTCACAGCTAGGTAATTCGAAATCTTTTCCTGCAGGGAGTATCCTTTGATACTGAGGTCTTTGTTGCACTGGCTATACATGTGCTCATTTCTTGATCCCTAGGAAAAAATAACTTTTTTGTAAAACTCTCTTTGATTGAAATTACCTTTTAAAGTGCTGCTTTTGTTTTGTGCTGTTTCACAGTGGAGGAGGTGGGAATTTTGTCCTTTCAACTAGTCTGACTGGCTACACGAGGTTTAGTGGATGTGCCCTCCCTATGGTGGATCATGGCTATGGCTTTTTTTATTCCATCAGAGATGACAGGTAAAGATACAATTTTGTTTTGGCTATGGTTGTCTCTCTGTCACAAAGGGAAAGGCAGCTAACAACGAGAATGAGGAAAGCAAAGGACAAAAGAAACATGGCTGAATGTGTCAGGAAAGGTTGAGAAGCGAGCTACATGAGAGCAAAGATGTTAACATTCTGGGAAGGCATGTGTGGGAGGAAGGATGAATGGTGGAGGTGAAGTGAGCACCAAGCTACTGACAATAAGCAGAAGGAAAAGCAATGGGGAAGGTGAAAGAAGGGAGGAGCAAAAGGGGTTAAGTTACTTTAAAATAAGCTTTAATTTTAGAGATAATTAAGTGTAACATGCAAAGGTGTGTTTTAAAAAGTAGCAATTGACTAAGGCCTGTTAGAGCACAGGTCAGCACACTGTCCCTGCTTCTTTGCAGTGACACACATCTCTTGGCTCAAACTCAGACCCCTCTGAGCAGCAAGGAGAAGCTAAAGCATTTGGCTTCACTTCTCATAAAACTGGTAGGATTTGGAAAGATCCAACCTTGATTTACTAGTCTTGTGGACAAAAATTAACTGCTTCTTTATAAAATCTGATAAATTACTTTGATTATAATGTGTTGAGGTAACTTGCTATTTTGAGTTTTAGATGTTTTTGAGTGACTTCTTCCTAAAGCTATATATGTATTGTGTAGATTTGATTCAGTCTGAGAATGCAAACCACTTATACTTTGATCAATGGCTCTGTTAAGAGAAATAGAACTAAATAAAGATGTACCTTTTATTAGGTAAATAGAAAAAAAGTACTTTAAACCTTGAGCTAGTTGCATAGAAGAAATATAATTCAGTCTTTTCAAATGTAAGTGGAAAAGTTCTGTCACTGTGTATATAGAAATAGGTGTTTAAATCAGTGTCTAGTTTCAAGATCTATCAGCAGTGCTCCTTACAGAAGACATGAGGTATCTGAGTCCGCTTTGAATGTTGAGACAGTATGTTCATGTGACTATTTGCTTCAGGATTTATGTCCATAATATCGAATTTCAGAGCAATTTGTGTGATCTTTATTTTTTTATTTTTTTTTTTCTCCTAGACCATAAGAACTAAAAGTGGTAATGTCCTTCTTTTCTTATTGATAGGATCCTTACTAACTGTTGTTCCTGGAAATCCTGTCCGGAGACTGATGCAGAAGTGCTGTGTAGAACTGTGTTCCAGTGTTTTCAGGACATGATACAGTTAACAATTGCAGCTCAGCTGTAAGGTTGATAATGATGTAAAGGCCTTTACAAGTTCACAAGTTATATGTAATACAAGTTATATGTAGTTTGAAAGAAATGCTACTCAAGATTACTGTTATAGGAAAGTTAAGACATTTAACAATTTTTGTGAAATCTACCTGTTTTTATGGGACTTACTGTGGTGACAGTACCCATTTAAGAATAATGTAGCCATTTGCAAAAACAATGCAAGCAGTAGTACCTTACTTAGGTGGAGCTATGCAATATTAAAATATGCCTCAACAATGCAAACATACTCGGGATGTTGGAAATGGAGAATTTATGGGAGATTTGGATTTGTGATCTTAGTAGTAACATGTAGAATACTTGGTAGTCTACTGATAGTGTTTATGTCATGGAGCACTTAATTCTGTGCTTAGGAGTAACCTCACTATCCTCCTAGGTGATAATGCTTCTTAATGGTAGCAGTTTATGAAATAGAAGGACTGCCTTCTATTGAAATGAAATTTATCTTTCATTTTTGCTATTGGGATTATACCAAATAGACATATCTGTAAGTGGGGAAATTCCCACTACATTTGAAGTAAGAAAGCACTACAATCTGAAGTATTTTGAAAAAGGAGCTCTCAATAATAACAACAGCAAGCAGCATATGAGTTCCAGATTCCTCAGAGTTTTCATCTTCTAGTGAACTGTGAACATCTGCTTTACACTAATAATACATGATACAACTAGGCACTGAATGCAGGTTCATACAGTTCTCAGGATTTTTAAACTTGGCTCCTCTGAGCAGCTTTGTATTCCTGATACAGAAATAAAATTATTCTAAAAATCAGCTTTCTGTTGATTGTTTCATGGTGGACTGCTTAATGTGTAGCACATCTCTTTGTGAAAGAGGGATTATCTTGGAGACAGCTGAAGTTGCGATTCTAAAGTACCCATTGTTTTCTCTAGTTTTCAGGGTTTTGAGAGAGATCAGAGATTATTTGGTTTACCGGAGCAACTGCCTCCTCAGCTAACACTGAGCCAGTCTCTTTGCCCTCTGTAAGTTCTGTTGCTTTTTTCCCCACAGGAGCAAGAACAGGGTTTCCCTCTTTATTTCCTTTCTCAAAGCCTGACACTTGCCTGAGTAACAGGCCAGGATGTGTTATACTGTGTCTTGTTGCCTTATAAAAGAGCCTTTGTCTTCCCTGCCTTTACTGGACTGCTTGCATGTCCTGTCTCAAACGTGACAACCATTAATTGTTTAATGGTTTGAAGTCTTTATAATTTCTGTGAGATAGATGAGGATTTTGGACTAAGTTATGCTTGATGGGTCTGGGTTTTTGTTGTTTTTAAGTTCTGACAGCTACAACCTTTCACCCCTCAGCTGGGTTAGTAAACCTGGTTGCTACTGTGACAAGGACAGTTTGCCTTGAACACTCTCTTAAAACAGCCTGAAATCTGATGATGGTTGTCAGAAGAGAAGCACAATTTGTTTCCAAGACATGGGACCCAAAGGAAGGGATTCCGGGAATTGGCTGCACCCGTTTGTACATTGGCAAGCTGAGAATAGGAGCCAGGGTTCTGCAGTGGTGGAATTGAGCCAGTTGACAGTCCCAACAGACTTCCTTCTCTCCCTGCTCTGGGTTGCATGTGCATGTATTTAGCAGCACTTTGGGCCCATCTGTGCTGAGGAAGACATCACTACCTCCCTTCTGTCCCTGCATGCTGGTATCTGTGCATAAGCAACAGCTACTCTCTTTCTGGCCAGTGACTGCTTTTCTGAAAACTTCCTTGGCCTCTTGCTGGTGTGCATCTTGTATGTCTTACATTCCTCATCACGCACCAGAGTTTAGAAAGAATGCAAAGTTAGAACGTTATCATCAACCTGTGAAAACAACCCTCCAAAACCTGAAGAGAGGGGCAAGGTCTCATCCTTTTTCACTAGGCCTCTACAGGAACAGCTTGCTGATGTCCTAGTGGAAGAAGAGGGCTGGGTTCTTGAAGCAAATGTGCACATTATTTTACCAAAACCAGAAGTAATGAAACTGGCCTCATCCAAAGGATTGGACCAGCTGTACAGATGCGCTTCAGCAGCAGGTATTACCTGCTACCACATATTGCATGGTCCACTTTGAATGCTGACCAGAGAATAGTAGATGCCTTGCTCAGCCAGGAGCTGCTGATGGGTCCCTTGCTCTGCAACCTTGCCATTCTGGGCATAACAATCTTGCCAGTGTTTTAGATGGTGGAGAGGTGGTGAGCTATCACAACACAGGTGCTACCTTCTCTGGCTCTATGCAGCGCTTCCTGGACAATCTGTGCAATAAACAAACCAAAATGTGAGTAAGAAACAAATACAGCAGCTGTTAGCACCTCTGATGCCCCTAGTCTGTTATCTGTGATAGAGCAATGACAGATGTGATGCTTCTATGGCCTCAGAGGTGAAAACCTTATCCCTGATGACTGGTTCAGAGTGCTTGCTGCTGTGCATGTGTTCATATTTTCACTTGCCCCAGAAGTCAGGTCAAGCAGACATCTCCAGAGTTGCAGCCTGGCTCTTCCTCACTGCCACGGTGTCCTGCGTTCAGCAGTAGCAGTCATTTTTCTCCGTCTTAGTAGCTGGTGCATTGCTGTGGTTTTGACTTTCAGCCTGGGAACAGCGCTGATAACACCGATGTTTTTAATTGGTGCTCAGTAATGTTTACTCTGACCAAGGACTTTCTGAGTCTCATGCTCTGACAGGGAGGAGGGGAAGCAGGAAGGAAGCAGAGACAGGGCACCTGATAGTAACCAGCTAAAGGGTTATTCCATACCACAGCACGTCATGCCCAGTATATAAACGGGGGCAGTTACCCAGAAGGGCGAGATCACTGCTTGGGTCGGGCTAGGTATCAGTCAGCTGGTGGTGAGTGGTTGTAGTCTTCCCTTGTTATTTCCCTTATCATTACTATTATTGGTGGCAGCAGTAGTGGTTTGTGTTATACCTTAGTTACTAAACCGCTCTTACCTCAACCCACGGGAGTTACATTCTTTTGATTCTCCTCTGCATCCCTCCGGGAGTAGGGGGAGGAAGTGAGGGAGGGAGTGAGCGAGTGGCTGCGTGGTTGTGGGTTGCTGGCTGGGCTTAAACCACAATGCACAGGCAGGTCTTAGTTGGACAGTTTTAGAAAACCTGAAACTGCTTTTCCATCCACGGTGCTATTTATTTTGCAGCAAGAATATCCACCACACCAGAAACTTGGCTTGTCATAAATGCATCCAGGATGTAACCACAGGTACAAATAGGGAAAGGGAGAGGAGGAAACAGGAACAAGGTCATAGAATCATAGAATGGTTTGGGTTGGAAAAGACCTTAAAGATCATCCAGTTCCACTCTGCCTGCCATGGGCAGGGACACCTTCCACTAGACCAGGTTGCTCCAAGCTCTGTCCAACCTGGCATTGAACACTGCCAGGAATGGAACAGCCACAACTTCTCTGGATGACCTATGCCAGTGCCTCACCATCCTCACAGTGATGGTGGTTTCTGCCTGTTTTTCCAGGCCAGCTCTGTGTGTGTGACTTGACATAGCTAGCTAATGAAATGCTGAAAAAAGGAGGGTGAGACCAGTGCTCCTCGGGCTGCCTCTGCACTTCGCTGTTGCTTTCACTTAACTGAAGGGAAGTGCCCAGCCATTTTTTCAGTACTTCCTGCATGTCTGTTGCTCCATGCTCTTCCATCTAGAAGAACCTGAGTACCAGTACCACACAGATTATTTTCTCAACAGGGACTTCTCCTGCAGAGATGAAGACCCCCCATCTAGGCATCTGCAAAATGATTGGGTTCATTAGTTAAATGACACGTTGTTGACTGTTCTATTTCTACCAAATATTTTCTGATTGAAACAGTAGAGTTAGGTCAATTTTTTAGACTAATGTAACAGTTCATAAAAGACTATGAAGAACATTAATAAGAGATCAGTGTGAGTTTTTCCAAAGGACCAGACTTCTTTTTTTTTTGCAGGAATTAATTGCACAATAGCCGAAGAAGCCATTGTGAAAACACGTATTCTCTCCTAAATATTCTATCTGAAGGCATATTAAAATCCTGTTCTGTAACCACAGAGTCTGACAGCTTCTCTTCCACCATCTGTTAAAAAAGATTACGTTCTCAAAAGTAACGATAGCTCTAGGTGGCCACTTTCTGCTTTGCAGGGACCTCATTCACATTCTTGGCATGTTCTTTGGTGGTTTGGGGATTTTTTTAATATCTGTCCTTTAAGATACTGAAAATAATCTGTTATTTCTGATCTGCGTACTGAGTCAATCCTTCTACTTGAAAACCTTTTCTAATTGATTTACTATACAATGTAATATGGCATATGGAATATGGATATATGCCTATGCAAGAAATATAGTTCATATGAATGAGTATATATGAAATGTAGATATAGATATATGCAAATGACCAATCAACATAATAGCTTGAATATATGAAGTCATAAGACTTCATAGCTATTTTCCTTTATTATGTATTTATATACAGGTACATATGTTCACACACATACTATACACACATAATAAAAACAAGGTTTACAATATATATGTGTTAGGTGTCTGGAATGTTCTCATCTCTTGGTTACATGGCAGACCACATGCACCCATATGTTCCATATACATTGCTGGTTACTAAAGTATGTGACAGTCCATTACAGACAACTTGCAAATAAGTTATCCCTCAAAAGTTTCTGGTTAAATACCAGCGGCCTGGTTATATGTTCAAGATCTGTGCTCAGGTAGCTTCGTGCAAGAAAACAGTGGAAAATGATCTCTGCTGCATTAACTCTATTTCCACTGGCTCTTAAAGATGCTTTTCCAGAAGGCAGGTGAGGTTTTGGCAGGAGAAGACACTAAGCAAGGCTTAACCCCCGTTTGGTTGGATGAGTCATATGTGAACGGGCTCACAGAGTGCTTCTTCTCAGTACCACTGATGTGGGTGGGAGAAAGAAAGAAATCCAGGCTTGAAATAAATTAGAGAAGTATGCTATGCTGTGCATAACAGTAAGCTTGCTCACGTGCTTGTCTCCTTCCTCACTGTGGCCATCTACAGAGGGTATTCTTTCAAACAGCACAAACAGGGGAGCAGCTGTCATTTTGGCTTTGGCGTAGTCTGGAGTGAAAGAAGTGCTTTGTCCTAACGCCACTGCACTGAACACAGCAGCTGAAAGAGCTCTGTTAAGATAAAAAGGAGAAAAATACCTAGACAGGTGGCAAAGGCAAGAAAAGCTGTTATGGTCAGATAAGGGGCTTCAGATAAATATTCTTTATTAAGGCTGAGGTAGAGTAAGAGCTATCATAATGCGTTTATAGGGAGGCAAGCAGCACTCTAAGCTTCACTTCCTTGCCTACTTTCTCTGGATTTATTAGAAATGGATGTGTTGATTTCTGTTTCTGTTCTTAATGCATGAGATGTGGTAGAATGTACAGCTCAATTTCTTCATCTATAAAACTCAAGGCGTTAGTTATGGAGCAGTGTGGGAATTACACAGAAATTTGCCATTCCACATTTCCTTTGAATGGGCTAGTCTTCCAGCCATGATCAAATCCTTAAGTTCAGGTGAAAAAAGGAAAAGGCAAATGGGAGATGAGAAAAAGGCATGAAATCTGGGATGAGCAAAGGGCAGTAGGAGAGGAGATACATGAGAAGAAGGTATCCACTTGAATGCATAGGGAAAGGAAGGGTAATGCTGGTACTTGAAAAGGGGTTGGTATCATCAGGGTAAGAAGTTGCCTTAGCCTCAGCAGCAGCATGTTTGTTGCCAGAGTGTGGCAAGTGCCAGTAGCAATCATTGGATGTGCATGGGAGACAAAG